ATTATTTTATTATATTTAAGAATATTTTTATTGAAATATATATCTATATTTAGTTAATTTATAGCGTAACAATTAGTTAGTCATAGAAATTAATTTTGTATAAATAGAATAGCTTTTTGCTTAAGTTGTAAAATACTCCTCTGCAAGTTTATAAACTTATTTGTAAGTTACTTACGAGTTTCAAGTTATAAATAAAGCAATCAATTTAATTCCATACAATCTACTTTTCCCTTCAATGTTATCTCTCATCTAGGATTGTTATGATACACTAAAATAACTTGCTATTGAGTTCATCATTACGAGTTTGATTAAATATATCTTAAATTCTAAGACATAATAAATTGCCAAGTTGATTCAAATATAATAGATACCTGTAAGACTTAGAGAAAATCTTAAGATCAAGAACTCCAATGTGTAGAATCAACTGCTACTGTCACTTAACTTAAATGTTAAGATAAACGAAAATAAACCCAGTAACAATTTAGTGATTCCTGCCAGGAAATAAAAACTTTTGAGAAAAGTTAAAAATTGTGGATTTAAGCGAGTTTAAACAAGAGAACTAATTACATAACCTTAGTCATAGACTAGAAATTGATCCAAAAGAACTTCTTAGAAAAGATTTATCTTGTTTAACTTGTTATCCTCTTTATATCCCAGAACCTGAAAACTTTGAAAATTTGTGAAATTGATATCTGCTCCAATTCAAAGTATATAGATATACCGGAATTACTCTTGACTTTTTTATTATTATTAGCCAAACTGTTCCTGAGTTTAATTTACATCCAAACGATCATGATCTTTTTAGAACCCTTGTTGCTTAGATTAGTGTTTTAACCTGAAGTTACAGATATAACTCTACTGCAACTAAATTACCTCTGATTACTCAATTAATTTTAGTATTTATAGATACTGATTGTTTACAAATAATCTTTTTCTATTTGTTACATGAATACAGTCTTTAATTACCTATAACAATTATTTACTATAAGAAAAATTAAACATAGCACCTTCAAAGAAAAATAGCATTAGTCAGAAATCATGTAATTCTCAATCTCAACAGACACACTAATTTAAAGACAGAAGATCTTATGCCTCTTTTTGCAATCTATTAAAAGAAGAAATAATTCAAATACCTCAGCAAGCACAGAAAGAATATCTAAAAGACTATAAAACATAGATATAGAATCTGAAATTAGCCAACTCCAATCCAATCACTTCAGTCTAATACTATCAAAACTTTTTCACAAGAAACTATCATTTTAGATTATTTTAATTCAGATATTTAATCAAACAACGGTCACGTATATCTTAATAGCCTATACAACCTTACTAAAGCTGAAGCAGATAGGATTGTATAAGAAGATAATTCTGAATATCTCCTGATCAATAGTTTAAATTTTGAATACAATGGTAATGAAATAGTGAAAGCTACGACTGAAATAATTAGTCTTCAGTCAAAAGATAAAGGTTCAGAAATTAATAATTTGATCACATATTTCCATAATATTTCACTCTCTTTAAAACATAGAGGATATCAATCAAGTCCAAATACTTCAAATATCTTAATCAAACGACCATTTAAAAGTTGGGAACTACCACTGCATTATATTTGTTGAAAATCTTATTAATATTTCTAAAGCAATTAAACCAAAGTGGATCACGTTCAAAGTGACTGAAAACATCTCTAACCCTTTTTAATCTAATAATCCTTCAAGTATGAATCCTTCATCAAGTATAAATACTGAAAATCTGAAAGTTCTAACCTCTCTTCTGAATTTAGAACTAGAAGTAATATTACACAAAATAACAATCAATCATATCTATGGGAATCTAATACATCTAATACTTTTAATACAATCAATACAAGGAACACAGAATTTGGAATTCTTTCAACTCAGCCTGTCACTACCCAACCTATATTCAATACCAATATATCTAATACCAATGCTATCTATAATAACTTTCAGATAGTACAGTTACTTTAACAAATGACCCTGATGTTATAAGCTATGAACTCTAACCTAATAGAAAATATAGCCCAAGTAAATCGAGCAGAATTGAATTTAGTTAAACCCACTTATTTTCATAGAATAGATAATGAAGACCCTTACGAATAGCTTGCTTTCTTTAAACGAGCAATTATAGCTAATCAATAGACTAATAATAGGAAAATAGCTATTACTGCAAAATACTTAAGTGACATTGCTACCAAATGGTATAATGAAAATCAACCTACCTTTCAGAATTGGACTTTATCAGGAAGTCATTATAACTTCACCAACTATTTCTTAAATTATTTTGCTAATGCTACTATGAAAAATAAATGGATGACTGATTTGAAGTTAATTCGTTAATAGCCAAAACAAAGTGTAGCTGATTATGCTCAAAAATGAAAAATGTTAATTCAACGAGTTGACCCTATAGGAGGATTTAGATAACAATATATTGTTAGCAAATTTATCTGAGAATTAGTATTACATATCATAATGATGGTAGTAGAACATAACCCAAATAATTTAGATACAGCTATAACTAAAGCTAAGGAAATTTAGACAGGTTTTGTTATTGCTCAATCCATTCAACAGTAATAGGTTATGGCAAATCAAATGGAGTGGAATTATTATAACAACAAGTTTCTCAACTAATTGCAAATTTGGCTAACACTCAAGTTTAACAAACAAATTGACAAAACAATTGGAATAATCAAAATTGAAATCAAAGGAATTATCGTAATTATGAATAGAAGAAATTTGAATGTTAGAATTGTGGAGAAGAAGAACATATGGTTAGAGATTGTCAATAAAAACAATAATTAAAGCTCAACCACAAACTCAGACTCAATTTTGACCTAATTTCCAATCTAATAATAATAATTAAAATAATAATGGCCCTCAGCAAAGAAATATTAATTTGGCAGAAACTAAAGAGACTAAAACTGAACAAGAATCTTATATGATGTTAAGCCTAAACACTATGTCGTTAGGATATCTAAGCTTATTTGCTAACAGGGAGTATAAGTTGTAAACTATGAAAGAAATAAATATGAATTTATTTAAGTTGAAAGGTCAGGTCTTCTTTATTAATGATTTATGTTTAAGGAAATAGACATTGGCAAACATATATCTTTTATGTTGTTAAGATTATACTTTATTAATTGTATGATTGGAACTTGTTAGTTTTGTCAAGACGATAATACAGGATATTTATATAAAATACAATTATAAGATAGAAATAATAAATATAACTATAAAAATAAATATATTAAATAAAATAATGATAATAAATAAAATAAAGAAAATGAATATCACAATAATAACCGTGATAGCAATGAAATTAGTGAAAATGATAATCACGATTTTCCTAGTGATCATTAGTGACATTAGTTGGCGTAGTCATCTAGTGATGCAAACAGATTATCACTAACAATGACTACCAAATCAGTTTTATAACAAACTACTCAAATTATATTACTACGATCTGAATCTACTCAAGAATAACAAAACAAGACCCCACCTCAATCGCCAAAACCAATTGTTCAATTTATGTCAATATAACCTTATTATGAACAACCTTATAGAATAATTAAAAATCTTAAACATCATGATGCCAATGTTACCTTTAGACAACTACTAAGAAATCCTTTGTACCTTTAAGAAGTAAAGGATGAAATAAATAAGATTGAAAAAGAAATGGAAATTGGAATAAATATTGCACAAACCCATGTAACTGTTATGAGATTCAAATTAAATTCAATTGAAACTATTTTAGATTCAGGCACAGCTGCATGCATAATCTCAACTACCTTAGCCTTTAAACTTAACATTAAACTAGACAAGTTTTCTAATATTTTGGTTATAACTGCAGATGGAAAACATAAAAGATCATTAGGAATTAAAACCTCTATTCTCCTTATCTTACAAGAAGCAAAATTCTCAGTTAATTTACAAATAATTGAATCAATTCAAAATACCTTATTGTTAAGAATAAACTGGTTTAAAGCATTCAATGCAAGAATATATTTCGATCAAGATAAACTAAGAGTTAAAATCAATAGTCAAACAATTAAATCTCCTATAAAATGCATTGAGAAAGCCAAACCATTTTTCAGAATTTTGGCAAATATTGCAGAAAGTTAAAAAGAAGAATATGTCGATAAAGTTCTATAAGAAATAAATCTTTTCTAAATAGAGAATGATAAGAATTCTTCTTCTAATCCAAATGAAGAAAGTGATAAATTAGAATGTATTGAATGGCCTTACTAAGAAGAAGAAATTATTGCTCTTTATAGCATGAACATTGAAGAAGAAACAGAAGAACAAGAAATAATTAAAGCACTTATACCAAAAAGAGATTATTTCAACTAGAAGAATTGACATTAGACAAACCCCATTTGTTAATCATCAAATCCTATTAAAGTCAAACACAAGACCTATCGCTCACCCTGCCAAAAGATGATAGAAATCTTACAAAAGTTTGGGATACAAAAACTTGGGATAAAAAGGATATTATTTGTTATCGTTGCCAAGAAAAAAGACATTATTCAAAAGAATGTATGTCTGAAAAACCAGTATATCGAAGGAAATCTGATAAAAGAGAAGCTAGTTATGTTGGAGTTTTACCAATAGTGAAGAAGAAGAAATTGAAGAAGTAGAGAAGGAAGAAGTTTATGCCCTTCTACGAAATAAATCTTATACTACTAATAGAAAAACTGTTCGACAATTAGAAGCAGAAAGAAAGAGACAATCTAAATCCAGAAGGAAACTAAACTTAAGAAGCAGAAAATCCATTAATGAATTCATGGAAGTAGAAACCCTGCAAATTATTACTCCTACTCAAAAGAAGAAAGTTAAATAAGAACTATCCCAAATCGATCAAATGGCTCCCTATAATGTCATGCAAGATTTGTTACAAATGCCTTCTTCTGCAAAAATTGGTCAGCTTTTACAATATCTAAATCAAAGACGTAATCTTGCTCAAGAGTTAAGGAGACCAAAAATTCAAGAAACAAATTATACTAATCAAGAAAGTGAAGAAAAGAAAGAAAACAAATCTACAGCCATTCGTTAGTATGTTAGAATTAAAAGAAACCCTGTTGTTGCTATCTTAGATTCTGGAGCTGCTGTCAGCATTATCACCAGGAAGTTAATAAAAAAAGTAGGATTATCTATTGATGAACAGTCTAATACTGTCATAGTTACTGCTAATAGAAAAAGGACTAGAGCATTAGGACAAGTTAAAAGAGCTCAAATTGCTATCCAAAATCTATTAATTCCTATTTCTTTACAAGTTATTGACTCTCAAGATGAAACTCTACTTTTAGGAACGGATTGGTTTAGAAAAACTTATGCTAGCCTTGACTTCAGAACTAATCAAATTAGGTTGAGATATTTAGTAAAAACAATCACAGTACCTGTGTCTACTAGTGCAAATGAAACCCCTGTTAGTTATCCTACTAATCAAGATCAACAGGATGATGAATTAGAATAAGTTTTAGATAATTATAAGGAAGAAGAACTTAGCAAAATTGAAGCTTATATGGCAGATAGTCAAGAAGAATATGAGGAGGAAACTGACCTTCTACCTTTCGATTACAATCCTTGAAATGAAGAAAATCCTGTCTATTTAACACTTGCATTTAAGGAAGAATTTGAGGCTAATCCAGCAGTATTTCTCACTGAAATTTCTAAAGAAAATATTTGAAAAATCAAAGATGACCTTCAAGTTGAACCTCTTGATGACAAGCAACAGATGTCTTTTCAAAAATTAATTAATGACTATGAAGATATATGTGCATTAAGCCAAATAAAAATTGGACAAACTAGTTTGATAAAACATAATATTTTGACCAATAATCATGATCCAGTCACCATCGGAGCTTATAAGTGCAAAGACCTAGTAAAACTTAATTTTCTCAAAAATAAAATCAAACGTATGAAAGCAAATGGAATTATCAGAAAATCGTTAAGTTCCTAGGCTTCTCCTATAGTTATAGTAGCAAAGAAAACTGGAGATAAACGAATCTGTATTGATTACAGAAAGTTAAATTCTATTTCCAAAAGTGATGCGTATCCTCTACTAAGAATTGACGATTTATTAGAGAAATTCAGAGAAGCAAATTGGTTTTTTATACTTGACCTTGCTAGTGGTTATTGGCAAGTAGAAATGAGTGAAAAAGATAAGGAAAAAACTGCTTTTATTTCTCAGTTTGGTTTATACGAATTCAACGTTATGCCCTTTAGACTAAAGAATGCATCAGCAACCTTTTAAAGATTAATGAATTATATTCTTCAAGAGTTCTTATATGAATTTGTTGCTGTCTATTTGGACGATATTATTATTTACTCAACAACTTATGAGAATCATATGCAACATTTGAGAAAAGTATTTCAAGTGATAAAACAAGCGAATCTAATGATCAAGCTTAAAAAGTGTCATTTTTACCTACCTAATATAATGTACTTAGGATATGTAGTTAGAAAAAATGGATTACAACCTGACCCTGCAAATATTGATACAGTTAAAAGCTTTCCCATTTCAGTTGACTAACAAGTTTGAGGTCTGCATTAGGATTATTCTCATATTATCGACGATTTGTTTCAGGATTCTCAAAAATTGCCAAACCTTTAACTCAATTGTTGAAAAAGAAAGAACTGTTCTTGTGGACAGATGCTCAATAAAAAGCTTTTGATATTTTAAAGGAGAAATTAATTATTGCACCCATTTTGCAATATCCAAATTTTAATAAACCATTTATCTTATACACCGATGCTTCTGGAAATGGCTTAGGAGCTGTTCTCTCCCAAAAGTTAGAAAATGGACTCGATTGTGTGGTAGCATATGCCAGCAGAAGTATGAACAGAGCTGAGCAAAATTATGGAATAATTGATCAAGAATGCCTTGCAGTTGTATAGACTGTAAGATACTTTCACCATTATTTAAGCTCACAACCTTTTACTATTATTACTGACCATTCCGCTCTTAAATGGTTATAAACATTAAAAATTTCTAAAGGATGAAAAGCATGATGGATCATGGAACTTTAACAATATGATTTTGAAATTAAGCATAGGCCTGGGAAGTTAAATACTAATGCTGATGCCCTCTCACGAATTAATACTGACCAAAAATACAAAGATAATACATGTGAAATTTTCACAGTAACTACTGAGAAAATTGAAAAATCAGAGGACGAATAGCACATTTTATCTGAACATAACTCTATTAAAGATAATGAAGAAACATGGTTTGAGAAACAATTACTTCAACAATTCTCCAACGTACCTTTAATTATTTCTGTTAGATACGAAAGCCCAAAGGATGAAATAGAAGATATATATCGTGAAAATATTAAGATTAAAACAGTCATAGCCAACCAACCTATTACCAAAGGAGGATCTCAATGTACTTTCACCTGTGATACTGAGAATCATCATACTCATACTTACTGTAAAATGTATAAAAAGAATCTACCTTATAGTATAATTATTCATGATTGTATTATAGGATATGAAAGAGAAAAAATTCATCCTGATATGAAACCAACTTATCTAGTTAATGACGTATAGTAGGAAGAACCAGTTCTAATACAACAAGAAAATGCATATTCTCAACTTTATGAAATGTTAGATATTATTCCTCCATCTTCTTATCAATCTCCTATCCATCTCAACATTTATTAAAATATATTTATTTGAGTGAAAGTTGAAGTGTTTGCAGTGTGACAAACAGCTCAAAATGGATATAACATAATATAATAATCTTTTTAATTATTTACAAAACCAAACTTTACCAGACGATTTAACACCAACTCAGCAACAAAAATTAGTTAAACAATCTAGATATTATGAAATTAAAAATAATTATTGGTACAAACATGTTCGCTAAAAGCTTCTTAGAGTTATTCGTTCACATAAAATGGAAGCTATACTTTATATGATGCATAATGATCCAACTGCTAGACATTTTGCAGTAGATATAATGTTTGATAAAATCAAAGAATGATACTATTGGC